TAGTAGTAGTAGTAGTAGTAGTAGTAGTAGTAGTAGTAGTAGTAGTAGTAGTAGTAGTAGTAGTAGTAGTAGTAGTAGTAGTAGTAGTAGTAGTAGTAGTAGTAGTAGTAGTAGTAGTAGTAGTAGTAGTAGTAGTAGTAGTAGTAGTAGTAGTAGTAGTAGTAGTAGTAGTAGTAGTAGTAATAATAATAATAATAAAGAAAGAGAAGAAGAAGAAGATGATGAGAACTTTGAGATGGAATATTAATGTAACGATTAAACAATGATAATAACAAATGTCAAGGTTAGAGGTTCCACTAATGGTATATCAAACAAGTATAGTATAAACTCTTATTATTGAATTGGAAACCACACACAAAGGAGGTTCCAATCAGATTATATATTGTTAACATGATTACATTAGTCATCTTATTCAATTAATGCTAATACTTGTAAATCTCGTCAAGCATTCATGATTATAACTTATGTTAACAACAAATCAAGTTCCTTTCATAGCTCAGGTGTCGGTTATACCATACATTATGGGCTATGAAAGTGCCAAGCATTTGTTGTACCAAGTGTTATACAACATAAATCAAGATTAGTCATTTAACAAGCAAAGTATTAAAGAGTGAACAAGATAGCAAATATAAAACATGTTAGTATCAAACATTAAAGTCCATATTAAGTTTACATTATACTTATTCTTACACCATTAGTGTAACCTTTTCACCTTGACATAATTAACTTAGCTAGACATAATGAAAGAAAGCAAAATAGATAAACAAAATAAGAACATAAAAGTTAACTAAGTAAAGGAAAGGAAATGAAAGGCATAAACTTAATATTAATGAAAACAAAGCATAAAAAATACAAAGAGAGAAAGGAAGAGCATGATCTTGATCTGGAAACCAAGATGCCTAAATGCATGGCAAATGCCTCCTTTTATAGGCCAAAATTGGGAACTATTGATTTGATGACTAATTGATAAGTGGGTGACCAACTTTTGACTTGGTGACAATCCTTATCTTCTCTTGTCTGCCCAAAACGTCATTGATAACGTCAAAACTGGAGCCAGTTGCAACATGAAAGTTGTAGGTAATTGTCTCAGCTTTCTTGTGTAAAAACTTCAGCTTATTTGGACTTCTAGAACTCTAGATATGGCCAAAATATTAAACAGTGCTCGGGCTGGAGGACAGATTCGGGCTTCTTTGTTGTTGCTACTATTTGGACTTGATAATGGCCTTTTTAGATCTTGGGCTCCATATGAAAGTTGTAGGCCTATGTCTTACCTTTCCATCCATATAAAGTAAACCTAAATCTGAGATCTACAGCTCCAAATATGACCCAATTACCGAATAGTGTTCCGGTTTGGATTGCACCGACATCTCTTTTCTAAGTTTGGCCATCTCTTTGTCCTTTTAATTTCAGTTCTTAAATTCATCAATCAATTCTTTCATTTATATGATAGGCCTGCATTTAAAATGAGCATTTACCATAAATTAAATGTATCTTATATTATTAGATATGTTATTATAAAACATGTTTTAGTTAAAGAGTTATTGATACTTCGAGTGCAAAATGATGATATAAAATCTTGATAAAAATATACTTTTAAGTACTAATCAGGAAGCACCAGATTTGTGGCTTGTTTGGTTTCAAAGAAACTCCTGCACATCTTTTGTTTTGGAGTCATTTGATGAAACATGAGGATGTGATTCAGTTAAAAAGTGGTATTGCATTATGAGCAAGATCATCAGGCCTTCACAAACGGTTGATTGAACTTGTTGTGTCATGGCCTGGTTTCTTATTGAATGGCTTTCCAGTTTCAAAATTAATTGTGGTTATTTTATAGAAGTTAGGGAGTTACTCTTTATGTCTAGATCCTTTGTGTTTGACTTCAATGCCTGATAAAAGATTGCAATATCTTAACATACATTGTTTTTCCTTTTTTATCCTTTAAAAAGTAGTTAGGCATGATTTTCAATAGTCTGCAATATGCATGAATATCTTTGATTACTGAAGTGGTACTTGCAGTCTGCAGAAATGTAATATGTTTGGATATTTGTATTATTTAAAATATTTTACTTGTGATTTTATGATTTTTAGTTAAAAAATTTTACTTGTGATTTTATGATTCGAGTTTATGAGTCGAGTTTATATTGTATATTTCATGTCGTGTCAAAAAAGCATTTTTAACAACCTTGATCATACTTTCTCTTTAAGCCTTCAAGGGCTTTATTGTCTTTTCCTACTCTTTAATATAAAACATTATAGCCATGTTAGAGAATAATATAAATCATATCCTAGGACTTCACCTAATAGTTTAAGCTATTGGGTTAAATTGGTTCTTTAACATGGTATCAGAGCCTTGATGACCAAAAGGTCATGAGTTTGAATTTCATCACCCTATTTGTTTGATAAAAATTAAGCACAAAGTAAAATGGACCTGTATAAGTTCCCAAAGGGCTTTCACTTAAAGGGGTATGTTAGAGAATAATATAAATCTTATCTTGAAACCTCATCAAATAGCTTAAATTTTTAGGTGAGATGGTTCTCTGACATGCCACTCACAAATGCTACTCATAAATGTGACTCCATAGTTGACAAATCTATGTTGTTCATAACCTTCTATAACTATGACTGGCAGTAGGTTTATGGTCTGGATTAGACTCACGACTTTAATGTTTATTATTTGAAAGATTTAACTGTATTTTGTGCTTACCCATACCAGCTGTAAATACTAGAAGATAAGTAAAGCTTTTTATTTAAAGTTGGGAAGTCTTCAGTAACTAATAGTATGCACAGAACTGTAATTAAAAGATCTCTGGTTCTTTTCACCAATTTGTTTTTATCTAATTCTAGTGTGATCGATAGAATCCCCCCTGTCATTTTCAAAGAATAATGAGCTCTAAAATCTTTATATTTATCCTTCGTAAGAAACTTACAGACTTCTGTTTATTGGTTAACTCAGTAGCCAGTACAAGAAGTTCGGACCTCCACTTGCATTTTTTTTATATGCTCAAGCTGGGTCCAGGTCTGTGCTTCAGATAATGCATTAACAAACTATATATGCTTTAATTCTACTCTTTCAATTTGTTTAGATTTGGTTAATTGTCGAGGACATAATCATTGCTTCCCATAGTCAATGGGGGTATTGCCCCCAACCCTTATGGCCTTATGAAACCTTTGGTCTGTTGATGGCCAGCCTGGGCTTTTCTCTCTTCAATGAAAGAACGAACTCACTTTAAGAAAGTCAATGGTCATACCAACAATGATTACTGTTATTATCAAAATGATTTTTAAAAAATAAAAAACTTTATTTTGATGCATTTTTAAATGAAAATCATTTTGAATCATTACCGGTACGACAATTCCAAATAGGCATCAGCAATTGATGTTGATGATGCAGACAGCACCTAAATTTTCTGGAGAAGTGCTAATATTTGGTGAATATCAGTCTTGCCTTGTAGATGTGAATATTTGGTGTTTGTAAACATGCTTGTAGCGATGTTAACTAAGGTCTTGAAAAGTGAAAACTTGAGTTTCTGAAATGTTGTGCTTTTCAGTAATATCTACGGACTTACGTTAACCTATGCTGCCTTGTAAAGTGCATATCTTCATGGATAGAAATTAAGAAACCAGAGCTGCGAGTCTAGATCCAAGTCATCAACCAATGCACAATTGGACTCATATTCAGGTCATGCAGTTCCTGAACGTAGGAGATTTGCAGGGATGGTGTGGGATAGATTCAAACTTGCAAGTTTCTGATTAGTGGAAAGGTGTGGCAAACTTTGGGGTGTATAAGCATTTGAAGGGCGTGATGTTTTATTCTCTGATTGGTGATTAAACAAGAAATTGGATGTTAGTACTAGTTGATGAACAGTTGTATTTTTCAGGACATTCCACAAATGTCTTCGAAAATATCTGCATAGTTGTCTGCTTAACAGATCATGCATGCTGCCGATTTTAAATGTGTTCGATAGATTGTGCAATCCTACGTGGGAATATGAATTAAATTAATTCTGCAGCGAGATCAATTTCACACTGCCATGCACAGAACAACAAAATAACAGATATATTTGCAGAGTTAGATTTTGTGGGCCTAATTAGCAAGAAAATTACATATTCTAAGGGAAATCTCATTTCCCAGTTCATAATCTTTGGGATTTCCAGATTGAGATTCTTATACATTCATGAAAAAATCAAGCAATTAGTCAGCTAAACGACTTGTGTTATTCTAGATGATGTTCAGTATTGAATGACTTTCGATGACCCAAAAGAAGAAAGCAATATATGAATGCACCATTGTTCTTCTCACAATGTACCGGAATTCGCTTATCCCTTTAAAAATTCTTTCAATAGCTTTGTAGCATTGACTCATTAAGTAGGATCACAATGGAACTCGTCAATGGCTGCATCGCAACCCCATTTTTTCTCCTCCTTATATGACTGGGCATACTTTTCAACAATCACCATTAATTGACACGTATACCTTTTGAACTAATCTTCGAAGAAATTTCTCTGAAATTTTATTTCCTCCGGTGATTATATGTATAGGTTTGAATTATTAACATCAATTTCAATACCTGCTTGCTTGATTTAAAGCCAATAATTCAACAAAAGCAGTTAAATAAAAATGTTAATTACATCTGTTTTTAATTAAATTCTGTAGCAATATAAGCAAGTACTGGCTTAATTTTTTTATTTGGAGAATGAATGTGTTCCATCTTCACACTGTTAAGTAAAGAAATAAATACTTGCAAAGACATTCCAAATGAAATTCACATAAAAACCAACTTTGAGATTCCATAATATATTACATAATCACTTTCATAGTTTCCCTTGAAACCCAGCAGGTGTACAAAGAATTCTCCAATGGAACCTTATTTCAAACTTCTTGTAGTAGACGAAGATGAAGTTGCCAAGGTACAGGACGATGTAGCTCCAGCAAACACGTGCACTAACAGTACGAGCTCCTTGCACAAAAAGGACCTGTTATGCACCCAGCTGCAGCTCCTGGTATAAAATGAACCATTAGTCTTCAATATAAAAAGAAAGGAAAAGATATGTGAATAACCATATTACCTTGCAATCCTTCTAAGCAAGAACGTGCTCGTGCAGCCTCTGAAAGGCTCGTTGAAGTCGTGCCTTGCGCACTGCTACCATCACATAGAGCCAGTCCCATGATTCATCCAAGAACCGGAAATAGGCATGTCTCCAGGAACGTTTTAGCAGTAAAGCACCTGAAACTCCCCAAAAGAATACACTAAAACCAATTCCCATAGCAGTACAAAACCATTTCATGAATTCATCAGCGACGACTTCTTTGCCTCGGTTGTCATCATTAGCAGGTGGACTTTGATTCGTCTCATCTCCAGGGCATTTCTGTAAGAGTGGCTTCCCGCACAATGCAAGGTTACCGGTAAATTGTGAAGCATTAAAGCCTTGCAGCTGAGTGCTTAACGGAATCCTCCCCGACAAGTGATTGTTGGAGAGGTTCAAGAAAGCCAGAAAATTTAGATCAGCCATTGTGATAGGAATCACTCCTGATAATTGGTTTCCTGACAAATCAAGTGATTCCAACTGTTTCAACTGCCCAATATTTTGAGGGATTTCTCCAGTCAAATTATTTCCGGATAAATTCAGTGCAAGCAACAGTAAGAGTCCTGTTATTTCTTCTGGAATTTCACCTATTAATTTATTTCTTGCAAAATTAATGATCCTCAGAAGTCCTAGTGTGCTTCCATAATCATCCTCTCTTCCTTTCCATCCAACCCTGATCTTATTCTGATATCTATCATAGCTACCTGGTGCACTGAAATACAGACTAAGAACAGCATTATTCGCAAGGGAATATTCTGACTCTGTTTTCTGAACCATGGAAGTGAGGTTATTAAGGCACTTTGGAATGATTCCTGTGATATTGTTCAGAGATAGGTCTAAGATCAGAATACTTGACAGGTGACACAGATTTGGCGGTATGCTTCCATTGAATCCATTAGATTGTAGGGAAAGGACTTCCAGAGACGGCATGCTTTCTCCTATCCACCCTGGTATTTCTCCTCGCAACTTATTTGAGCTCAGGTCTAAAAATACTAGAGAACTACAATTCCTCAAAGACGAAGGTAATTCTCCAACAAAGCTATTATTATGCAAACTCAATGTTTCAAGATTGAACATTGATCCAATGAAGCTGGGAATTTTATCTGAAAAGTTGTTGCTGGCCAAATTCAGAATACGTAGACTTGTGAAATTCATTAAACAGTCAGGAATCCATTCCGTCAACAGGTTATTTGAGAGGTCAAGAACACTGAAGATATCACTTCCAATATTACATGGAAGAGAAGCTGGACCTGAAAACTTATTGTTAGAGAGAAACAAGGTTGACGTGGTATCTGATGAAAAAAGTGGTAATGGCCCCACAAACTGATTGAAACTCAAATCTATGTTTTGGAGATTGGAATATTTTGATGCGAAATCTGGCAAAATTCCACTCATCTTGTTGTGGGAAAGGTCTAACAATTCCAACTTGGAATTGGACAAGTTCCAAAACCAATTAGGGATTGTATCTGAAATTCCAGAATCAGAGATATCTAGCTTCACAAAATTATTTTGATTTCGAAGCCATTGAGGGAAATGAGGACCCAAATTACAAGACGAAAGAAATATGTGAACCAATTGAAAAGAAGGGGCCCAGTTAGACTCAAATTTCAAAGCTAGGGAGTTATCAGTTAAATCCAATACCGTTAATTTGGAGAGATTTGAAAAGTGAGCTTCAGACATCACACCTTGTAGGGAATTCCCTCCAACATGCAATTCCTCGAGCTGAAATAGACTTCCAATACTTTTAGAAACATTCCCATCTAAGCGATTGTTATCGATCCACAACTCTCTTAATGATGAAAGCATCGTAACATCCGTAAGTGATCCAGTGAGTTGGTTGTCATCCAAGTACAACAAAGCAAGTTTAGAACGTTGACTAAATTGTTTCGGTAAAGATCCATTCAGTTGATTCCGAGAGAGATCCAGCTCTGTCATGGAAGCGAATCTTGTGATGTCAGGAAGTGAACCCTGAAGCTGATTTCCGTCTAGTTGCAGAATCTCTAGTGAGCTCTCCAAGCATCCATGCAAGTCTTGAAACAACTGAGACAACTCTCCAGTGAGATTGTTTTCACTTATATACAGTGCATTTAAACTGCACATATGCCCAAATGAACTCAAATAACCTTGTAATTGGTTAGAGGATAGATGAAGAGTCCTAAGAGAAGTCATGTTTGTGAAAGCATCTGGAATTGAACCTTGTAATTGGTTATATGAGAGGTAAATATCAACAAGATTGCTACCGAAGTTTGCCAACCAATAAAATATTGAAGAAGTAAGCTGATTATCAGAGAAATCAACGAGAGCAAGAGATTTAGAGGAGTTTACAAGAGAAAGAGATGGAGAACCGATAATTGAAAGGCTACAAGAACTTAACAACAATTCATGTAAGCGAGGGAGCCTGTTAAGCACTTGCAGCCAGTCAATCGTTTGACTAAGGTTATTGCGACTCAAGTCAAGATACTCCAAAGAAGAAAGATATGAAAGCCAATCAAGGTTTTCAGAACTGTTAATCCAGTTACTCCTAAGATTAAGATGAACAAGACTGTTATTAAAGTTGGACAACCAATTGAATGTTGAAGAAGCAAGATAGTTTTGAGATAGATCAATGACAGCTAGGGATTTAGAAGAATTTGTAAAAGAAAGAGAGGGAGGACTGACACTTGAAAGATCACAGCCACTTAACCATAAGACTTTTAAAAAAGGGAATTTGTTAATCGTTTGTATCCATTCAGTGGCTTGACTAAGGTTGTTTTCATCCAAGTAAAGATACTCAAGAAAAAAAAGGTTAGAAAGGAAGTTAAGATTTTTAAAATTAACCCCATAATTATAACTGAGATCAAGAGATTGTAATTTTGAGAGGTTCCAAGGCTGATTTGAAAGAGTTCCAGTAACACCAATAGAAGAGAGATCAAGGTATGTTAATTCTTTTAGAGATCCAATGAAATATGGAAAAGGATTCCCTTCAAAATTGCTTCCACTTAGATTCAGGTAACTCAAATGCTGCAACTCCAGTAATGAATTACTGATCTTACCAGTTAAATACTTGCCGCCATTCTCCCGGTGAAGATCAAGATGAGTAACATGACCAGTTCGATTGTTGCATCCAACTCCTCTCCATTTGCAGCAATCCCTCTTCTCTTCTTCACTTCCCCAAGTTGAAAGAATACCAAAGTCATCAATAAGGTCTTCTTTAAACTTGAGAAGGGCTTGTCTCTCCCTCTCTATGCACCCGAAAGTTGCCCCTTTCACTCCAGAAATGAACCCAGGTGCAAGTTTCATGAGCAACAAAAGCACAATAAGCACATAAAGATGATGAAACGACTTGTCATGCTTTATCAGCAGCATGATCACATAAAAAGATAATATAGAAGAGGGTATGGAAGTAATAATTGAGAGCAATATTGAGAAATTGGTGGGTAATTTAACTTTGAATCCATTCACTTCACAACTTCCCTATATATAATATAAAAAACACTATAAGAAAATGTAAAATTAAGTCATTAATTATATAAGTCAAATATTTCCATAAACACAAAGGTAAGAGAGAACAAAATAAAAAAAATTCAAACTTTTTCTTTTATTTCTCGTTCTTTTGTCATATCTCTCATGCATTACAAGTAGTGGTATAATTTAAACATCATAGCAGGAAAATAAAATAAAAAAATAAGATTTATTGACCAAAGCAGAGAAAGGATTACAAACTTGAGGAAGCTAGGATAAAAAAAATTTCATTTTTATTTTATTTAATCCATTTAATATATATATATATTTTAAATATTATTTGATTTAATAACTAAATTCAGTAAATATAACCACATAAATATATAGTCTTGTAAGATTAAATGTTTTGATTTATATTTAACCCTTGATTTTTCTGATTTTATTTTTAAATATTATTAATATTTTTTTATAATTTATTAATGTATATAGTTCTTGATTTATTTAATTATTTATATGTATGAACTTTTTAATTTACACTTACAACAATTTTTTTATGTGTAAAGATACATTAAAAAACTGTATGTATAATTTTTTATTTAGTTTATAAATTATAAATAATTTGGTCCAGCTTCGTCACAAATAATATACACGTCTACTAAGCTTGTAGGCAAAAACCATTTAATGTTTCTCTAAATTTCTTAGGACATTTAATGATATGCCCCTTACTTTTGGGCAAACACTTTTCAAGTCATCATTATATTTAAGGAGATGACATGTGAAAAAAATAATGTCTTATTTATATTTCAATCAGGAGCGGAATTAAAGGAAAAGGAAGGCAAGCAGGGGCGGGTCCTTGCAAAACATTTCAATTTTATTTTTTTTATTTAGTGTTTAAGTGCGGGAAGGTGGACTCTTTTTTCTTTTAAATAAGTGGGTCCTTTTCATAGTAAATATATTTGCTAACCTTTGACTTTAAAACTCTTTATTTTATGATATCTATGTGAAAAGAAAAACATAAAGTCATAAAAAACTTTTTCAATTAAATTGACTTTGCCATCTTCTCTCTTTGGAACCCTACCATCAAGATTAAAAAATATAAACATAAATATAAATTACAAGCGAAAAGGCTGATGCAGACGGCAGATCCACCAATTAATTCATCTTCACCAATTATATATCCCACGCGTTTTCTCATTCCTTTCTTTCAACCATGTGTTTCTGTGGTGTAACAGTTTTTTTGAAAGAAAGATGCCTCAGCTTCCTAGTCATTTCCATTGACATCTAAGACGTTAAATTATTAAGAGCTTCAAGTCCTGGGCAAGGTTATCAAATATCCCACATGTTCTCTTTCCTTTATTTGATAGACATTCTCTCTATTCAAACAAGAATATCTTAAACTTTAAATATTAAAATTAAAAAAATAAAAACTTCAAATTCATCTACACATCCAATACTACAACTTTAATGAAAAATTCCAATTCAAATAAAATTGCTTTCAAGACCAAACTCTAGATGCAATCTAGAGGACGAGATGAGTTTCCTACTCTGATCAGGAAACCAATAGTGTCGAGCATCATATTATAGCTGAGAATCTGATATAAAAATGATAGGTCTTAGAATCCAAAAAAGATGCAGATCAAGCCTTTAACACACCATGAATAAATAAATACAGCTGAAATAGTCGGATATTACAAGAAACCAAGTAAAAAACAAGGTTTAAGTTGCAGCAGAGTTGGAATTACTGCAAAATTGTTACAGCAGTAGAATCAGTTTTCAACAGAAATTTTGAGAGATTTATCTAACATTAAAGATCAGATAAAAAAAGAATGAATTTAGCATCATGAAGATTCCTAAGTAGTCTAAGAATCCTGAAGATTTAGGTAACAAAGGAGGAGAATAAAGAGAGCAAAACACAGCTGAATAGGATCCAAAAAACATTCATTTCTTCTCTGTTTTTATCAATTTTCCAGCAATCATGAACTAAACTCCTGAATTTGGTTCAAAAGGGAGACACGCCATCTCCATTAGCACATTGTGAGAAGTAACGTAATTATTGTAATTCTTTCATATTCAAGTATTTATTTTTCATTGTTCAGAATTATACTATTAATTGTTATTCAAGCTTATTGAATTGTTTTGAGATATCATGTATGCTTTCTAGTTTCTTTCAATCTGTAATTGTTGTTAGGGTCTAGAGTAAGAAGCAAAAAAATTAATTTGATTGCAACAACTCTCATCTTGATTTATTAGAAAAGAATAAACTAAGTTAAAATTGTCAAGCTTTTAAATGTTTTCTTAAAATAAATACATAGATTTTATTCCTAAAACTATTCTCAGTGAACAAAAATTGCTTTCAATATTACATTCGCTTGATGGTAATAAATTGATTAGAGAGCTTTTCCTAATTAATATATTTGTAATCTCATCGATTTCCCTTAACTTTAAGAGATATCAAATTTATTTGCTTGACGTGAAGAAATATTTATTTTATTTTAATAATTAATAAATTTAATAATCAACATATTTATAAGAATAAATATGTAAATTCTTAAACTGATTTGAGGATTCTTAAACTGATTTAGTGACATCTATTTATTATTTTGAGAATTATTATTTTTTGAAATTCAATTTATTATTTTGAGAATTATTATTTTTTGAAATTCCGTCGACTGACCAGTACCTTTCCCTCAGCCTCAAGCCGTCTCCGGCTGGAGCTTTCTTTGAGACGAAAAGGAATAAATAAGAAAATTCCAATTTTACCAAATAAACTAGTTACTTTCCACAACCAATCTTACATTGATCCAAATAACTGTTAATGGCTGCACAAGTGATAGCCATATCTATGTCAAGAAGACCTCACTTGTTATTTTCAGGGATATAAATGTTTCCGGATCTCTTCAAAACACTATCAAGTTCCAAGACAGAGAGTATGTACAACTTCATGTTGGTAGCGAGAAAAAATGAATTAAGATTGAAAACTACTTGATATAAATAACTCAAAACACATCATGCTCGCCTTTTACTCAAACGCCATGAATTAGGTTCGTGGTATCTATCGTAGAGAGGTTCAATGCGTTCTTGACGCTTTCGCTTGCTCATTTTTGTAGGATCTGATACTTTAAAGAACCTGGGAGCTAGTTCCACAAGCCATTTGGGATCTATAACCGTGACCTCACGCATATACTCTTTTGTAGTCATTACCAGCTCATGGTAGATGACCCAGTCTGGTTGTCTCTGGAAAAGAGCACTGCTGGGGTGGATATAAACTGGCTGGTTCTCAACCAAAGTCCTATAACCCTCCTGTGGGTCCTTTCTAGCTGCATGGAAAAAGAATCCAGCTGTAATCGCTTTCCTTATCTTGGTAAAATTCTTCCCAGCACTAACAACATCTAGTTTATACCTGAAATCCAGCAAAAGTGTTGAGTTAGAATCGTGCAGACAAACACGTTTGCATTGTAGGTGAGGGTTTTCTATAAGTGACGGTGAGGGTTTTCTAGATCTACTATTAGCATTTCCTTATTTTAAATATAAAACTGCTGGAAGAATAATTGTATCATAAGGGGGTCAGGTAGGAAATAACCAGAGCCAATAACTGTTGCAGTTAAATGCATGGCAGGATCAAGAAACAAAATTTTTCATAAGAACACCCATCGAGTGAAAAGTCAGCAACTAAAATGAAAGAGAGCATTGGGGTGCAAAGTTATTTACCAAAAACAACCAACAGCACAGGTTAGAGGGATGACAAATTCACCAT